TATATATATATATATATATATATATATATATATATGAGTCATTCCATGCCAAGTCACGCATTTTTGCACTGCGACCTCTCAGATTTTCTTCATCTTTTTGTTTGCTTGTAGCATTTGATACCGTTTTGAAATCGAAACAGTTTACCTCAAAAAGTGCGCTGTGGCAAAGCTGGACCGTTCTAAAGTGCAAAAAAAAAAAAAAAACGCAATTCACTCTCAAAATGGTCACCTTGAAAGACATTTACTTCTCTTTGTTTGCGACGGATTTGCCTCATTTTCACTTCTTTTGAAGATTGTGTCCTGCAAATTCAGACAAGTGAAAAAACGCGTACATCAAGAAATTTTATTTTAAATTAAAATGAAAACACAAATTCAAAACGATTTTTCCTCAATTGGACACACTAAATTTTTTAAAAAAGACGCATTTTCTAAAGACATAGTTTTTGCACATTATATAAAAATTGCAAGGTGGTATCTCTTTGGCATCAGGAGTTATGGCGCGAATAGTGACAGTAGACTGGAAAAAACCCTTAGTTGAAACAGCATTTTGGCGCTATCGCAGGTGACAGAGCCTCTGTTTCTACAAAAATTCTACTATTTGTAATAATATACGTAATTCTTGGAGAACTCTTCGACTCATCCACTTCAGTAACAGATAGGTAGTTAAAATTTGTTTACTTTTTAACAATTTTACAAAGTTTTTCAGAAGAAATTACTATTATAGTTATTTTTTCGGCTTGTATGCTTTGCTCGCTTATTGAACCCTTCTAATCCAAATGTGCCACACTCAGTACTGTTTTTTGATTGCGAGTATTGTTTTGCTGTTTTCTTTCAGCGCTTTCTATTATGAAGCAGTCAAATTTCTTGTACATTTGGCTGGTGAATCTACGCGAAAACGCGGTGGTAGAAGTGCTCCTTGCATTTCATATTCTTGTGAAACTACTGAATCACTAGTATTTCTTTTTATTAGTTCGGAGCCTCTTTGTTGAGGTCATTTTGATTAGGATTAAAACTGAAGAAGTCTTTCATGCCGGCAAACGTTGTTGGTCATCGCAGTATGGCTCTTGGGCTAAAATTAATGCACAGCTGTGAAGGTGACAGAAGAACAGTACTCGCATTTAAAAAACAGTAATGATTGTGACATATTTGGATTGGAAAGGTTCAATCAGCAATCAAAGCGATACGGGTTGAAAAAGTAGTCATAATACTAATTTTTTCTAAGAAAAACTTTGTAAAATTGTTAGAAAGTAAACAAATTTCAACTGATTGTCTGTTACTGAAGTGGTTGAGTTGAAGAGTTTTCCAAGAATTACGTATATTATTACAAATAAAATTTTTGTAGAAACAGAGGCTTTATCACTTGCGAAAGCTTCAAAACGCAGCTTCAAGTGAGGGTTTCTTCTAGTCTACTGTCACTACTCGCATCGTAACTCTTGATCCTGAAAAGACACCACCTTGCAATTTTTATATGTTGTGCAAAAACTGTCTTTAAAAAATTTAAAATGTCTGTTTTTGAGAAGAGCCGTTTTGAATTTGTGTTTATATTTTAATTTAAAACAAAATTTCTGTTGTATACATTTTACCGCTTGTCTGAATCTGCAGGACACTAGCTTTGAAAGAAGCAAAAATGAGGAATATTTGTTGCGAACAAAGAAAACTGCAATTTTCTAAAGATGACCATTTCTAGGCTGAATTGCGTTTTTTTTCGCACTGAAGAACGGACTAACTTTGCCACTAGCGCACTTTTTGAGGTAAACTGTTTCAGTTTCCAAATCCGGTATCCAATGATACAAGCAGGCAAAAAATGAAGAAAATCTGAGAGGTCGCGGTGCAGAATTGTGCGACTTGGTATGGAATGGCCCATATACATACTTTGGCGGAACTTGGTTAACATAATCGCGCAAGGTTGAAGTGGTATTTCCAAGGCAAAGTTGCAGCAGATATTTGTCAGTAAATTGGATTTTTCTTCAATTAAACCAATTTTTTGTTTTACATCTTTTCTGAATAGTATTTTAGTTATAACTCAATAGCTATCTTCCAGGAATAAGATTTAGATTTGCAAAAATATCAGTTTTTACCTGGAGCTGTAAAGTTTATTGTAACATTCTTTATTTCTTTAATTACTTAAGAATCTTAGGACCGGTTGCATGGAACAAGTTTTCCTTAACACTTAGCCTGTACTATTAGAATTCAGTAAGATAACTTTAAAAAAAAGTTTTTTGATTTCCTTTGGTGTTCTCTGTTCTCTTGCTCCAAAAAATGCATATTTCGTTGTTTTCAGCATGAGTTCCATTGAGTCACTCTTATATTGCCACTTTCCAGAATGAGTGGAAGGTTTTATGTACTTTAATATCGCAAAATAAATCATTGGTAGCAGAATAAAAATTGATGTTTTTAAAGTCAGATTCCGGTTTTCCAGATATTTACTGAGTTATAACCAAACTTTCATTAAATAAGACCGTGGAAGAAAGGAATTATGAAATTTACAAACTTATAGCTTGAATTTAGCAGATAGAATTTTTTGGACCTTCACCTTAGCATTTCAGTTTCGGCAGCACGGGATTATTTTAGGAAAGCAGATTTTCAGTTTTAATGATTAAGAAATATTAAGGCGTCGCTATTGAAAAATAATGCAGTCTTGGAAGAAAAGTGCCGCATAGGTGACCGGAGATTTGACGAGTTAAATGTGGCATATAGAAGTCTTGAAGAACAATATTTGCAGTTCAAGGTTATACATGTTTGCAAACCCTTGCATTTTTTTTGCATCATTCAAGTTTTGTAACATTCAACTTACAGTGGGAATTGTTCAGCTAGACACTCGCTACAATTTACTATCTACACGTTCAATAAATTAAGTTTTTTTAGAGTAGCGCGGAAGAGCAGTACTATAGAGAAATAAAAGTACGTGATGAGAGTATTGATCATATGCAACGAAGGATTGTCGATTTGGTTCACCGAAACGGTTCTTAAAGATATTTTTACAGACTTAAATAGAAGAATATGCCACAGATAGATTAATCTCTACAAGTCTTTTCTGATTTGTGATGAGTACTTTTTGAACCTTCCCAGTCTTAATTCTGAGCTAACGCCATACTTGTGTTCATTTCAAGTTCACCAGTTCTAACAAGTGCTTGTTTTTGCAGAATCTCGGTCATCAACTTCGGAAAAATCAGATTCTCTTAATAATTTGTCTGTATGGGATGTGATGCCAAGAGAAGCACAAACTTTGTTTGAATCGTTAAGGAAGGTGGGAGTTTTGATCTCATGGACATTCTCCAGCTTAACTGTTATCTTTTTTGAGACACTAAAGTTTTGTTGTTTTTTGATAGCTGTTATTTGGAGCAAAGGTATTTTTGTGATCTATTTATTTCACATACTTTTACCCTATTTACGGAAGTATTGGTAATTTGAAACTTCACTTTTTCACTTTCGTAAGTAGTGTTTTCCTAGTTTTTTTAGTTATTTCAGTTCTATACCTTTTTAGCGTTACAAGGAGGTGATTGAAGTAGTTAACATGATGAAAGCAGCTCCATTTACTGCAAACACTGGGAATGATTTTCATCGTTTAAAGGTGATTTTTAAGCTTATTGGTTTCTTTTTTTCATTTCATAATTTATGAAGATCTAATACTTCTTGCATCCTCTTTATTTTCAGCCTTTGGTAGACAAGGCAACTAGTTGCGAGAGTCTGCTGGATAAAGTCGATTCAGTTTTACATAATTTGTCTTGCGTCTCATCTGGAACTGATATGCTTCAAACGGGAACTCCCTTAGAAAATTCTTTGTTAGATGGCAAAAGGGAAGAAACCACAGACGTTTGTTTAAAATGTTTAGTGGATTGTCTCGCCACTGCAGTGGAGAAGGTAGGCGCCGTATTTTAATTTCGCGGAATATTCACTACTTAGTTAATCTATAAACTTTTTTGAGGGAAGACAACAGGTTGTGCTTGATATTCAACAACTTTTGAAGGTGCTTCTTGTTGAAGTGCTCAGAAGTAATGGAGATTATTCTGTGGCTGATAAATTGGTAATTTTTTAACATTACAATTTGTCATCTACATTTTTTCACAAATAGTATTATTTTTACAGCGGACATTGGTACTCCTGCAGTTTTTTGGATCTTCTAGTTGTTTAACTGTACGATCTTTTGCACTGTACTGTATTACAAGCGCTTTGTTTTTTGTGGGATGAGATTTGTTTTCTTTTTAGGTTAAAGAGTTCTTTGTGAAGGTGGGAAATCTTTTAAAAGAAGATTGTGAGAAGGTTAGTTTTATTTTTTATCATTTACAGCTTGTGACCAACAGTTGTGGTTTACAAGTTCTAAAGAACTCGTTGTTGTGGATGTTTAGTATGGAAGTCAGTTTCATTTCATTCTCATAGTAGATACATTTAATTTAGTTGGAACGCATGGAAGAGATGGTTCATGAAAAGGATACCATAATCAGAGAAACTGGGCAGCAGAAAGAAGAGACTCTTCGTTTGCTTGAGTTTGGGCATCATTTTTTATTTAAAATGATCATTTCATTTTAGAAAATTTTCCGGGACATTATTATTGCGCAGCGTTACTTTGAACGTCTGAATTTATTACAGGTCTTGACGATTAGTTTCTCTGAATAGTTCATTTTTAGGCAAAAGAATTACGAATGTTCTGCTTTACGAACAGATTTGAAACAGAGCGAGGACAATAACGAAATTCTTAGCGAAAGAAATGAAGCCTTGGAAAATACGTTGAAGGAAGCGAAAAAAATGCTTCAAGAGAAAGCTAAATATGGTTCTATGGCTGCAGAATTTTTAAATGTTTGTTATCTGATTATCTCAGTTGTACAGGAGAATGAAAGATAACCTTTGACCCATAAATAATTGTTCTTCTGAAACATAATTTATTTATTGCGGTACCCGTAGTAATGGACTTGGTTTTCTAGGAGTATGATGATGAGATTGGGAAGTTAGAATCTCTTCGTGTGGAACAGAATGAAAAAATTGCAGAGCAGGCTGGCAAGATCGAGGAACTTGAAAGATTGGGTGATCAGAAAGATGCTGAAATAGACAGATTAAAATCCGTTGTAAAGAATTACATAAAAAAATGTTAGTATTTTTTTACTTTTTTAAAATTATTTTCTATTGTTTTTATTTCTAGGCTCGACTTTGGAAGAGGATTCAAAAAAAAAAGAAAAAAAAGCTTCTCATTTGAAGAAAAAGTATGAAGAACTAAAAGTTCTTTTTTTGCAAGTGGAGGAAGCAGCCAATTCAATATTTTCTAAAAACGAGGGACTTGTAGATACAAATACGAAAAGACAGGTTGTTTTTCTTTAATTTTTTATTTTTAGGAAATATTGTTGAGTACTTACTTAATAGATCTAAAATGTTTTAGCAAAAAATTGATTTTCTGTGCAAATTCCTTTGCCGTCACGGTGTGAATGTAGAAAGGCTTGTTACGCCCGAAATCGACGCAACAGATCAATCTTCAAAACCAAAGGATGATTTGGTGCAGCAGCACGCTGAGGTGGTAATGAAATCTGGGGAAGAAAATCTAGCAGTTTCCGAAAGTGAGATGAGGAGGTTAGCTGCAGTACTACAAAAGGTTAGAGCTTAAAAATAAGGTTATTTTAAAAGTTGGCTCTGGCGAAGGCTTAAAAGGGCGATTGTTTTACATTGGAGGGCTGTGTCGCAACCACCGACAAATTTATCAATAATTGAGAGACTACTTGCCTCTCTACAGTGTCCCCTTGTGGGAACTTATTCGTATCAATCAATATTTTATTTAACTTACTGCGAACGATTGTGGTTGGCAACGTACGCAGTATTTTAGAGGACTGTATTTTTGTGTAGATAGTGGATTGTTAACCTTTTTAGATTGATACCTTGTTGAACGCAACAGTGGTTTAGATTATATAATTTATCAACTGGAAATATATTAACAATGAGTAGAAAAGAGTCACCAACCACGGGCCCGACTCTCTCTATATGAGCAAACGTTATATAAATAAACCACCGAAACAATATAATAGTCGCCAAATGGGCACGAATACAAACTTTATATATTCGATTCAATAATCTGGCAGGAGCTTATAAGAATTATCAAGAATGATAGAGTACTGTTGGAAAACACTGATAATATTAAAAAACTGATAACATTGAACTGATCCCGACAATTGTTGCAACACCTTATATAGTGTCTTTAGAGCAGACTGACTAACTAACTACCCTCTAGAAGCTTTCCCCTAGGAATAGGTAGTGACCTTGTCTGTCTAGTGTAGTTTGAGATTGCCTTTCGCGTACTGTCGCGACAGCCTGGTTAATTTTTATATTTTGCTTTAAGTGTGTATGATTTAAAAAGGTTTTGGCAAAACTAAAATTTAGTCCAAGATGCTCTTCCTTGTACTGGGAAACATCCTTGACGTACGCTGGAGGTACTGAGGCTTCTGAAAGAATCCGACGTTATGAGAAATGATTATTTACATCCTCGTTGAGGGGGCGACTTGAAAATACTAAAAAATGCTTAAAATTTTTTGAGACTCCCGTTTTTTGTTTGGTAATAGTGTTAATCTAATCTCATAAATTCAGCAAAGGTGTTTTATAGTGGTAAGACGTTATTAGTGAACTTGACTGATAAACTGAGTTTCAAGATGGAAACAGTGGTGCACGAGATTGTTTAAATATTTAGTCAGGAATAGTTTAGCACATGGCCCTTCATGATGTATGACGTTTCATCATGCACTAACTGCTTCACACCTGCTAGCTAACAGATGCAACTTGTCATTAATGTTGTTTCCCGGTTAGATAAACAGTCTCCATTCCAATGGCATACGATTGATATGCAACAGCCTTCTAAGTTTCCAATAAAAAAGCCCATTTATTGAGTCCGCAAGTTGATTATTTTTGCTTGTTGAAGCTAGTTCATTATTGTTCATTGTTCTGATAGGAATTAATCGTTGCATATTTGCTGATGTCAGGACTTCAGCACGGCTAATAGTCATTCATAATTCGAAACACACCGTTCTAGGCAATTTAGTAGTTAAGTCATAAAGTAATTTCCCATAAAAATTTCATTCACGGCAGAAAATTGTATATTTTCGTTAAAAGATTCTAAAGCCGACTCGCGTGCGAAAACCAGTACGTGGCAAGATGAAACATTTACATATTACTAGTGTAATAGGAAAATTTCTTGCAAGTTCACATTTGCTCAGCAGGCTTTGCATGTTTCAAATACTACTTTCCCTCACAGTGAGGAACTGTTCTTCTCAGATTTGGTACTAAGATTTCTATTAGGCAAAGCCTTACCGGTGAAACAATCGGGCTGCAGAATGTGTGGAAGGTTCGCAGGTAGTTCTGGTGCGGCTTGGCGATCGAAGGTTTGCTTGTCGAGAATTCTTTATTTTTGAAGTGATTTTATTGATGAATTAAGGCGTCTTGACTTATGCCGTTCGTGCGTCTGATCCTTCCTGAAAGCTGTAGATTTAATGGCACTGTTGTGGCTTAACGTTAAATTAGGTGCAGTTAGGGCCTTTTGTACATGTTCTAAACAAGCAAGTTTCGCTGAGTTTTTGAATCTTGTTTTGTTTTTAATTCACTGTAACTCCAACTGCAGTACACTGCATTTTAGGATGTGGATTATGTCAATGAAAAGGAACAAAAATGCCGCGTCGATAAAATTGAGCTGCCCGCTCTTGACGCGTCAATGACAATTTAGGTAAAACTCAATGTTGTTCTGATATGTAAATCGAGGTCTTATTACTTCCTTGTGTTGGGTGTGAACGCTTAGACATCGTCAGTTGCATACCAGTATTTTAGTGCAATTTTTCTAAATCTACGTTTCTTTAAAGCGACTTGAATTGATCTCATTGCTGTGGTAAATGTGTTACTCATGTGCTTCTGCTAAGCTTGTGAAATCTTATATCCATGAAGTTGAGATGACACTGTATTCCAAACCACGGTTAGTTGTCGCCAGTCTTGGGAGTCTTGAATGTTACAAGTAATTTATCTGTATATATTTGAGTTACTAATTGCGTTCCGAATAAAGCGTTTGTTGCTACCGTAATTCTTTTCAAAGCTATTTTTAAATTTCATGTCGTAATGGTTTGCCCTAAACTAATCTTGCTTCTCCTAAGGAGTTTATAAAAGTTTTTAACTGAATCCGAAAGCTATGCTTAGAACGGTAGAGCACCAGTGGAAGAAAGGAGCAACCTCTTGGAAATGTTTTAATACTTACGTGCCAAGGAATG